TTTTATAAGAATAAATCTCGCGAGTTTATAGTTCCAGCGTTGAAACCCCATTTCCCTACTGGGCTCTAGCACTGGACTAAATTTCAGTCTTGAGCTTACCAAGAGTTAATGATGGCCAGCTACTGTGTAACTGCGAAATCTTTCTGTTCTGGAGCAGAAGGTAGTATACTCACGAAACTACAATGGTAGGATTTCTTACTGTATRTTATCAAATAAAYATTCCTTTATGATAATAATGTGAASCTTGAGGTATCACAACGGACCGCTTTCTACACTGTCCAAGTGAGACTGTTGGCGATTGTGACAGGATGGTCCTAAGCTAAATTAGCCAATTGTACAATCACGGGATATAATTTTTGTTAMCGTTCCCACGATAGTCGGGTTCCACGGACTGCCACTATAACACTAACATAATCTTGATAGGTACTATTTATACCATACTTCAGGGAATAGAAACTTCTGAATGGAATCTGTTTATGTTTAGCTAAGTGCCTTAAACTTACAAGGTAGTAATAATCCAAGAGAAGGCTGTACGTGTAGAAACAGTTGCTGATTTTTTTGAATATTTTCAAATGTTGGTATTGGTCCTGAAAAGCCCTTAATTACTTACCTGTACACACGGTTTCAGAGCAACATATTCTATTTYTTAGTTTGCTTTCTTTGACACACACATACAATGATATTGCAGTGATTCARCCAAAAGCTCTATTTCAAATATTGMMAATCACTACTTGTTTTCCTAAGAAGATCAGCACAAATTTCATTTCTCAGGCTTCACTTGTTTTCTAAATTATTTTGAATTAAAACACAATTTTATTATTATTAACTATTATATATGTACATATTCATTTTTATATATTTGTTTCAATTTGCGCATTTCAATAGTTGATGTTCTACATAAAACTGAAAAGATGTGAAACAATGTATTTACAAAAACAAAACATAACAACTAATATAGATGAAGAATCTTTCGAAAACAATATTTTTACTACTAAATCAAAAGTATAKCATTAATTATTTATATGTATATACGTATGTATTTCATTAAAATTCGTGATCGCTTAAATATAGTTAATAATAACTTTAAAACCTGTATGTGGCACCCTTAATTAGTATCGCTAAAATATGTCTATTTATTCACGTTATTTATAAGTTTATTCACACATTCGGACAACGAATTGCATATTATATTATACTAAAGTATTGAGCCTATAATTAGGCGTTTAAAACGCATTACATATAAATACAATTACACTGAGCCTATAAGTTTTGCAAACCACATATGTATGTATGTATGTATGTTAGTATATAGTTGCCCCAAAAACAGTAGTATTTTTCTTCACATATAGACATACATATGTATGAAGAGCGAGTCCTAACGGGGAACGTGGTATAACGGGAATGTATGGTATTCAATTTCTACAAGTCTTTAAAGTAATGTTTCGTCTAAAAATTTATATGTATATAATAATAAATCACAATTTGAATTATAGTATGTAGAGTAACAATGAGTAATGCCGTGATATATATATCTATCTTTATATGTACATTTACATATATGTATATATAAATATAWTGTATACATGAGTATAGTAGTTTGSCAAATTGCTTGTTGGCAGAAAAGTCATTGTATTTAATCGTTTTCATTTTACTCGTATATATAATATATGTAAAATAAAAAAGCAATTAAACAATATATGGCCTTTCATAGTTGCTTTAGAATTCAATGTTTTTTTATTAATGCCACACGAATTTATTATCAAGTAACGAAAATATATGTAATTTCACAGAGACCGTGCGAGGATTGCTGTTCTAAAAAGGCCAGGTGTGTTAGAGACTAAAGAAGTCGARGACACAAGTGTACGCTGAGTATAGATTTAGTCCAAATAATTCATATATTCATATAGGATTGCAATATAGACAAGTCAAAACGTTAATTTCAGCTGCGACTCATCTAAGTAATTTGTTCAGAGATTGTAGCTTTGCYTTGGAAAATAATATATTTAAATTTATTGAAGGTACCTTGTCAAATAAAAAGGTGTTCCGTAAAAGACTTGAGTTTCATCGAACAGTTTGTATGGTASCTATATCTTACAGTGATGCGATCTGAATAATCTCCTTGTAGATTATAGCATTGCCTTCTACCCCAAATTTTCTATTTTCAAATAAAAAAATTTCTATAYAAGTACTTCATTTTGAKCGATTAATTTGTATGACAGGTACTTGCTGTATTGGTTCGATATCGGCGATTCCGACAACCGTTCCCACAACAATCGAGTCTATATAACAATAACGGACCCGGATTTTTATCCGGCCAAGGACTGTCAACACGCAGAATTCTGTGGAGAAGAAAGGACTTTTTTTGATCCGATATAATCGGTTCCGACAAATAAACAGCTTCTGTGTCGTGTGCTAGATTTTAGATCGAYATATTGTATTTAAGGGTTTCCAACGCCTTTCGTATTAACAATASATAGTTGGAGCAGAAACGAACTTTTTTTTCGAACTATGGATTGTCAATTCGACTGTATTTACCGAAATTATTACTTTTTATTTGGATGACTCAGCCACACGGTCTCCACAGGCGTAAGTATGTTCGAAACTATGGAGCGTGAAACAAAGGAAGCCCATGTGAGATTTCGCTCCAAGCAGTCCAAATAAAAGAACAATAGTATAAATGTAATAGAATAGAAATTCCTAAACTTATAGAAAATTTTCATAAAAGCATGCTCTAAAAGCAGTTATTTTCTAAACTTTTCTTCTATGGTTCATAACATTGACAATAAATATTGCTTAATTGCTTTTTTAATAACAACATTATAATATCAAGCGCCAATTTCACAAGCTCTTGCACAAAGTGATTTTCTCCATTCCAAAGATTAAATGCTATCTAGCAATTAGAACATAATAAATTTGCTGATACAATCTACTAAAATAACCAAATATGTTTATGGCTACACTTTCCGTCGACATAAATATACTCTATATATTATACATATTTAAAGTAGTTAGATATAAACATATTGCATTAAATCATAGTTATAATTCTCAACTCGATATCGGAAAGTGTAAATCCGTTTCTAATGCCACGTTGGCACAGAATTTATCACAAAAAATAAATTCAATAATAGCATTTAGATTATTAGATTTCAAAAAATCAATAATCACTTAATCTAAGCAATAACTAAATCTGATTCGCTCTTGTGCCAATTTAATGAAGAGTTAATCCGTTGCGTATTACTGCATGCCAATTAGTGCCAATAATTATGTTTGAGTACCGAATATGGTGAGCTCAGTCTTTAGCTTTTTAAAATGCATTATATTAACTTTTGTTACATAATTTTGAAAAAATYATCTAATTTGTTTAATTATTGCCAGTTGACATACTTGGCGTATGAACCACAAATATTTCACATTACATAAGTATACTTAATAACAAGAATCGAATGTAAAAATTTTAGCTTATGAATACACTTTAACATGCTTACATTCAATTTATAACACATTTACTTAATTTTAATATAGTTATTATATACATTATAGTTTATGTAATAAAGACATAGTTACATATTTTATATGGTAAAATCACGAAGAAAAAAAAACAAAAAATTTGTGAATAAATGTTTCAACCTATAAAAATATGCGTACGACGCCAACTAAATGCAGCAATTATGGCAACAAGCAACAATGTTCGGCAGAAAGCCGCACTCTCACACGCCGCACACGTCAATGTATCGCGCGGATATTTATTAGCCGGTGGCGCTTCCTCGCGCATACGACACTCCTCCCCTTTTTCAGCGAATRCTTCACCACACAGCTCATGACATGGCGGACAAATGATCGCGCCGCGATGCAGCCAATCGTTYGCATTGATGCGTATCGAAAGCGTCTGACCGGGRTAGAAGCAAGTGTATGTGTAATTCGCCACTAAAATATGTAGACGCCCGTCGGAACATTCGTATTTGTAGCAWCCCGAACCCCAGTGTTGCCATTCGCGTGTCTGATGRCATGAGCGCTCTTCCCACATAAAGTCACTGTGATCAAAACACTTTGAACCGATACCGTAGCTCTCCAGCGCAAAGTTCTTTTCAGGTTCTAAAAATATAAAAGAAAAATTTAGAATTCTAATTGGTTTGTGAATAATTGGCACACATCTGGCTTACTTGGATTATTCTCGACAAAACGGCAATGCGAACCGCGTACAATTACATTTTTGCTGCGCCATGTAAACTCTTGTATATAGGGACAATGATCGGCCAATGATACCGAACCGCCGTAGTAGCCTTCTTCGCCGCTCTTCACATGATTTATGCTGTCGAAATTCTTTAGAAATACAAAGTGATTTGTGGATCAGAGTTTGTGGAATTACCAGACCATTCAACTTCAATAAAATCTACTTGAATATGTAAATTACCTGATATTTCTTTGGCAACTCGTAATCGTGTCGTATTAAATTGCACAATGCCACTGAATTGCGATCGTCGGTGCATTCTGTTTGTAAGGGATCCTGTTTAACTTTCGAGCAAAATGGGTGAATTGAACGGCCTCTGTAATAGATAGTAATGCGCTTAATTATCAATATTGCAAGTGCTTTCAATTAGATTTGATTTCCCGCCTACCGCAACCAATTATCCCGTTCGTTACTCGTACTATTGTGGGCATAATGGAAAGAATGATGTAAGTGATTTATGCAATTAGTACAGATTATATTAAATCTTATTACTACTAATTTATGCAAATTTCATATGATAGCTCATTATTAACATTTATATACATAGGTATACATTTTCTTTAAATTGGAAAATATAGTTATGGCGATGTCGCCATAGTAAAAGTCAAAACAAATTATAATTATTTTTTTCTCTGTAATTTCGAATGCTTAAAATGCGAATGCTTAAAAAAAACACATGTATACAATATTGAATATTGTTATTAATTTTCAAGTGATTTGAAAATACAGCTTTGGGAACTTGTGCGCTCAAGGCTAGCTTGGCTAAGAGCGCCGTCTTTAAACGCGTTTTTCCCGAAACTGTGTTTTTCAACCGACATTTATGAAATTTTACACAGGTCTTTGACAATTCTAAAAGGCTTGGAAAAAGATGACAACTATTTGAGAAAAAATGTGGCGACTGAAACTTWAATTTTTTTGTTTAAATGGCTGCCAAAAATCCACCTTTCAACTTTTTTTCCATCCAAGTTAAGGTTAAAGTTTTAGCTAAAACAGTTATTTTTATTCCTGCTAACACTATTTAATTTTTGAAATGAAATTGTTGTAAAAAGGTATGTAACCGCTTAAAAAATCCGGAAATTCGGTTTGCTCTCGAAAAAAACTAAAAAAGACTCAATTTAACTATTATTGAAACATCTTTGGAGCAAAAACTGATAATAATTYCATTTCCTTATAGAAAATAATATTAATTCCATTAATATATATTATATGCAGTATATGACAACAAATTTTTCCGGTTGGAAGATTAAGGTTTTGTGAAGTTTTGTTAATTTTTTTTTTTACTGCTGGTCATTGTACGGATAATATCTTCTAATTCAAAGTTATTTTAGGTTTCATCCACAGAAAATGCTTGAATAATTTTTTTCAAATATTTTAGTGATTTCTTTTTAAATTGTTTATTTCGATCGATGTAATACTGCAAAGGCCAACCTTTGGTGGTTTTTATTTACAAATATTTAAWACAATATGAAAATTAGTCGCTATAGGCAATGCTGCCAAAATGTTAGTCAATAAAATACAATAATATGCTATTTTKAATAAATAAAAGTAAAATAAATAAAGCCTTTTAACATATTATTTGAAACGCACCTGCCGTTATTTGCCTGAATCCACTCTTTGCAACTGTTCATAACAAAATTACAACCCAGTCCTTTGCCCCAAGACAAGGATGCTGCCATACTGTAATTGGCACGATACCAGCCGGAGTCTTCCATCAATGCCAGCGTTATACGTGAAAAGACTGGCGATTGTGTATGCGTGCCTGTCATTGCTTCGTTCTGAATATAAAATATAAAAATATAAGCAAAAGCCTGAAAGTATTGTAACAACAAATACAAATTATAACGCTTACCTCTAAAATTCGTTTTTCCCAATGCGTTAAGGATGTGCCTTCACCACCTTGATCTTCCAATTCAGCACCTTCCAGAAGAGGACAATCAAAATGTTTGCGCACTTCGTCCACAACGCGTGGTGTAACCATCATATCGACGACTTTGCGTACATGACCGCCGCGTACCGCCCATTTTTCGCGTACCACCTTTCGTATTGTCTGATTGCTCCACTGATGGATTTGTAGTCTTTCGAACGATAAAAGTACATAGAGAATATATTTTAGTATATTTTCCGTAATATATAAAATAAAATACTTAATTACTTCTCGTTTAAGTAGGGTTTCCCTGTATCTGGTTTACGCGGGGTACGTGGTCGSCCTTCATCATCGCGAAAGAAAGCATAGAGACTGACGGAAAAGCCGAGCGCGTGCAGAATCTCATGTTTCACGGTGGATAATAGTGTTTGTAGTTCTTGTGGCTTTGTACTTATGCTATCTGGACACAAATTGGCATGGCCTGCAATTGGTCGATCTAAATGCGCTTCCTGTTGACAGTGCGCTGCATAAGCAACCGTTAGCCCCTTATGACAACGCTCCGTTTGACGTGCCGACACATAGAATATAAAGTCGGCATTTTCAATGCCGTCACCCGCCTGTGTGGACTCATCATTCCGACAATTTTGCCCGGTGGCATTACAAATGCGACATACCTAATAAAATATAAATAAAAAACCGAGTTATAAATTCGGTAAGAATTCAATTAATGGAATACTCAGAGAGAAATTAAAAAAAAAAATTATTTAAGAACTTTAAATTTAAAAAGATCTTGACTACGAGCTTTTAAAAATTATTATTTTAATTTAAAAACTGCTTAGCGACATTTATCGATAAATATACTTACATCTAAGTGCTCTTTGGGAACTTCTACCTCGCCGCACATTGTCATCTTCTTGCAGTTGTCGATACAGTGTGTCAGACCATTTTTAACAAATACTTGCGTACTATTACATTTTCTAAAATAGAGATAAATAATAATTTATGAGAATTAAAGGTTGTTAAATTTTATATTTGTGCTAACCTGTTAAGCCTAATGACACCTTTTGTTTCGCGCACCATCAGCGCCTGTTCCCAAAACTGCACAGCCTCTGGTAATACTGTGTTCTGTAATATGGATATATGTAAGTTAGTGGCATATTGAAAAGAACAAGCAGTCGTGAGATTTACTTACATTGATTAACTCAAACTTGTCTTCATCCAATCTGTAAAAAAGGGGGAAAAAACATTTTAAATATATGTATGGTATATGTATACGAAATACTTGACACKCTCTAGAATATACAGAAAATTAATAGTTGCATTTTGAACTTTTAGGTCTAGAGATTCATACTGTGAGCAAAATGTAATAAGAATTTTTAATTTAAATGTCGCACGAAACCCATTCGTCGAAATATTTTTTTCTTTTCTGATGTAACTAAAGTGCATTCGACGATTTTTACGATCGAGAACGCGTGACATGAACTGATGGCCACTACGTCAATAAAATAAAGGAATTTGTGCTTGAGAATGGACGGTTAACAGTCAGAGATCTTACTGGCATCGTTGGAATATCGGAAAGTTCAAATACCGATGTGTCTTGGCTATATATTTACGACTGGGAAACAGACGATCAATTGGCCCAATATTGTTGCAAAGATAAGTCAAATTCGAAAAAACCTCGTCAAAAATAAGGCTATGTTGACAGTTTTTTTTCGATTATCGAGATGTGGTGCACTGTGCATGTGGAGCAGCGTGTGACTTCTGACTATTCAGCAAACTCAAACGACCGCTCCGAGAAAAACCTTTTTGGGGTAATTGAGGACATTAAACATGAATCGCTACGCTTCTTACTACGAAAACTATTCCGGAAATTGACTTTAACAACTGTTTCGAGAATTGGAAGAAAGTTGCCACAATTGTATTGGGGTCAAGGGGAATTACTTTTAGAGAGAGGACATGGCTTTTAAAAATTAAATTAAGAATTCTAAAATTTTGAACAAAATCTTACTATTTTCTGATCATAGTAGAATATTTATGAAATATTACATATCCCTCGGTTCTTAAATTGCTATGATAAAAAACCAACCCGAAGTTTGAAGTTTTTATATTAGTTACAACAAACATAAGATACCTTACGTATTAGCCAATACACTTTTGAAAATCCATATTATATATAGGGAGCTAGAAAAAATACTGATCCGCTTTTAAAAACCGTTTACATTTAATCACACACAATTTGTCAATCACTCAAAAAAAAGCTCGTGTCGATTGGTCGAAACCAAGCGTCGAAGACAGATCACTCTTCACCACGAAAAATAACATTAATTTGATGGGATTATTCCACTATAAAGTTCTGACTTGGCAGTGAATGTTTTTCGTCCCCTAAAGAAGCAGTTGATGCGTTCAGAACGGATGATTTGAAGATGCCTCAATCTGAGTGGCAAAAGTACTTCGGCAATTGGTTCAAAAGCATGCAAAAGTGTATAGATCTTAATTGAGAATATTGAAAAGCAATAAAGCGATTATCAATGAAGAATATTTACTTTTCTTCTTTAATCCCGGAACATGTTGTGTGAGTACAAAAATTCAAATGTAAATTTTTTTCATTTACTAAGCAATAGTCAGCTATGATTTGCGATATCAAGTCGTGTCAAAACAAGAAATATTAGTTTTCTAAATATAATATTATTTAAAAAAATAATGTGACTTAATAAACGAAAACTTGCTCGAACCGAGAATTTTATTGTGTTTCCAACCACCGCTGATCTAAAGATTTTCTTTTATTACGTTATTTACTGTAACTGTAGGTGCAAAGAATAATTAAAACTGCATTCTTCCTACATGTACATGTGTATGTATACGTGTGTTTTGCTTGTTTGTATGCATGCATATGCATAGAATGAACTAATCTGCTGAGAACTAATTAAGGAAACAAGTGCACTGCATCACTTTCAGCATTGCAGCTATAGTTTTTACACTTCCATACAATAGTGGTATTCACTGTGTTAAATAAATTATTTATATACTACATACTTACAAGAAAAAAATCTTTAAGCATTTTATTAATATAAGGTTGTAAAAAAAGTATTGCGGTATTTTCGCTATTTGTTGCTGAGAACGCGTTTCTTTTAAGCCGTTCGTGAGTTACAGCGTCGCAAACATGGAGCAAAATAAAGAGAAAATCCGGCATATTTTACAGTACTATTACGATAAAGGCAAAAATGCATCTCAAGCCGCCAATAAAATTTGGGCAGTTTATGGACCCGATACAGTTTCCATTTCCACCGTACAACGATGGTTTCAACGTTTTCGTTCTGGTGTAGAGGTGTTCGAAGATCCGCCACGCTCCGGGAGGCCTGTCGTCGAAAATTGCGATAAAATCGCTGAATTGGTCGAAAGAGACCGGCATAGTAGCAGCCGTAGCTTGGTCAAGAGCTGGGCATGAGTTTTATTTTTTTTATGAACAATTGAAAATTCAATAAAAATACCGCAAGACTTTTTTGACAACCTTATATATTATACATATATCATTACTATTAAAGTCTACAAAACTCAATACATGTACATATGTATTTTACATGAATACTTAGCRAATACCCCTCCTGCAAGAAATACAACTTTTGTTGAATTTATGCAGTACTAACATATACTTATATATTCTATAAATATATATTAGCATTTTTACTTAGAAAATTACATCAGATTACGGTCAGTAGTATTAAATAATTTCTTATACTGAACACAACGGTAACACATTAATCCATGCAAATRAAAAGTTACAGGTGGGACGATAAAAGCTCCAGTAGAAATTTATGTGATGTGTCTGTGATTTCAGTGGCGGGTTGTAAGTACACTTGCACACTTGCCCACTTCACAGTTAATTAATCTTGTAAGTGGGGTAAATTTCGTACTTTCTGACATTAAGCTCTAATCTGTTTAGTATATTTGCATTTCATTAAATATTATTGCGTATTATTATTGAAAATATGCTAAAATTTTCTAAATTTATGAAAACGAAGAAATAATGTGGGTTATTCAAAATGGGTTATTAAAATATTATAATCTTAGCACATTCTTTCATAATATCTGGCTAATCTATGTGGAAAATATGCAATAATTTATAAATTTCGCCCGTCTGTCAATCAAGTTCAATCGAATTACTTACTATAATTTAGCATAAATATGGAATAAATCTGGAAAAAATGTGTCAACTCTAAGTTTGATCGAATTGAAAAATACCAACTGATATATTTTGAACCAGTCCATAWAAATACGCAAACCGATTCTATAAAACTTGTTTCCTAAATTGGCACAACCATCACACGGACATAAAGTGTGAAGTCTTATTTCCTTATGTTAATTAGTATTTTTTTTAGCTTTTAGTTTACGATAAAGTCTGGCGATTTTTACAATGGATTCGTCAATTATTTTGAAAATGTTGCAGAACTGTTTTTCGGAGTTTACTTCATTACGAACATTTGAATGGTACAGAGCATTCAGTGAAGATCGCGAGGTAATCGTTAACTTGTCTTTTGCGATCGTTCACCCACCTCTGTTAATGACGATAACATTGAAACGGTTAAAGAAACCGTGTCAGCAGAGAATCTCAACATYTCTTATGGATCGATTCAGGAGGTTTTTGTTAATGTTTTGTAAAGTTATGGGTATGAAGCTAGACYCGTGCCAAAAGACTTGAAGAGATGCATGCCAACGTACCATATATGAAATAATAATACAAATTCGTATTAACATAAATATCAACGTATTTTTGACAGTCCGGTTCAAATTTGATCATTTATATAGTCTAACACTACTAAAGTGGGAAAGCGGAAGTATGAATATGGGGTCAAAACAATTTWACGAATGGCGCTTCAAAAATTAACCGAAACCCAAAAAACCAATATTCGCTGAAGGCCATCTCAACCGAGTCTTATAACAAATACCTTATATGAAATATTGGTACTCAGGGGYTTACTTTGTATTAACATGTGTGAAAATGTTTTTTTTTTTGACAGTCCAGTTCAAATTTGATCATAGGATCATGATATGTAATTTATTAAAAACACCACGCTGTTCAGATTTATATTTTTGTGTTATATAAAGATATAATAAAACGATAATATAACACCCTGTATATAATATTGGAATTCGGGTAAATAATAACACAGAGGTATTTCTTCACTATCAATTTGGCCACAGCTGTATGTAATTATTGAGCACGTTGTTTTTATACACTAATGTACAAATCGATCTTGAGAATATGTGGAGTCATTCACATGCACAGATGACAGCTTTACCAATACGAATATTAGGGTGACACTTTTCCATTCGAACATAAATTATTGACTACCATTTTCTTTATGAAAATGGCGCTTTGTTTAAAATTTTAATATAATAGATTGTGACTACCATACTTATATTAACGCAATTCAATTTGGCCCGTGAAGAAGAATTCAATTTGACCAACATTATAAAAGCACACAAAATATGGATGTACTGAAAATTCGATTAAACAAGGAAAAACTTTAACTTCGGTTGCACCGAAACTGATATAGTATCCTTTACAGGTGCATTTCTGTTAGTAACTATGTGTTCAGTTTGTATGGAAGCTATATGCTATAGTAATCCGATCTGAACAATTTATTTGGAGATTATATAATCACTTTAAGCAGTAATCCAAATTTCGTAAAGATAACACGTCAAAAGCGAAAGTTTTCCATACAAGCCCTTGATTCCGATCGTTCGGTATGTATGGCAGCTAAATGCTATAGTCAT